GGATAAATGTTATCTTATGAATCTAAGCATCTTGTTCGAGATATACGATAAATTGTATATGATAGTAGTATGATTTTGTTAATAAAGATATGGACATATATGACGATACGAAACAATAGAAATCGAGTCGTATATGAACCATCATATATCGAACAAAAAAAATATTCTACACATGAGACAAAAGTAATTTTTTGAAAACGTTTGACTAAAATTGATAGAGCAGTCGTTAGAAAAATGTTTTATATATGATTCGATGCGTCTACATCTTCTCCTTTCCCTGGTGAAAACTGTAGATTTCTAACTCAATTCATTCAGAATTGATTCAAAAAAATACTCACCCGCCTTCTTTTTTGGAATTGGCAATAGTTTAACAATGTTGAAATCTACTTTTATAACATTATGCTTTTTAATTACTAATGTATTGTACAAATATACTTCTTTCATTGATGAAATGGAATCATTGAAAAATGACTTTTTTTTTTCAATTGAAAGTATTTGTGTTTCATCAAGTTGTTCATTACAAATGCTTACACTACGTGATGACACAGAAAGCCATTAAATATGAACATCCAGCAATATTGACAGCAATTCAGTCTACTGATATTGTATTCACCATTTTGTTGCAAAATATTTTTTCATTAGTGAAATCCAACATGTTATCGTTATTTGGTTCAATACTTGTTTTAACAAATATACTGATAATAACTGAATACAAACACAAATTCATAAGTGAACAGCAAAACAAAAGGAAACCAGTGCAACAATATTCTACTGAATAGACTTAGTTTTCCTTTTGTATCTGTTAGATTTAAATAAAGTACCATACGTCGTGCTCAAATCAATTATTGAATAATATATTATTTCTTGTAAGACGTAAGATCTAAATAGAAAGAAGTGAACATAAATTTTTCATAAACAACTCTCTTGTAGATTATCTGTATTAGTGTTCTGTAAACGGATTGAGTACATGTCAACACATGGAATCTGAGGATTTCACAAAGTATTTTTAATTTTTCAGCTTTTTTTTATAAAAGTATAGAAATGAAAACTAATTGGATTATAATTTGTTTTGTTTTCAAATATAATCGAACAATCCACGGAAAAATTTTTCAAGAAAAAACTGCGGTTTCAACCGGTTTTTAAAAGACGCATAAATGATCTGACCTTCGCGGTTTTTCAAAAAGCGGAACAAAACCGCTGTTAACCTCAGATTACCGCGGTTTTTTTCTGAAGAATTTTTCCGTGGGAATATAGTAAAGTATTTAAAAAAACGTAAAGAAATAGTAATGTTCGATTTTCTTCTATAATATTATCTTCATAGGTACAATTAAATCGAATCGTATGAAACGTATATAAAATCAATGTCTAAAACAAACGACAGGCATATTTATTCTATGTATTCAAAGCAACGGAATATTAATAGAAGAAACTAATTTCTAATCAACTAGAACTTGTCGATGAAACATGTGGTTTACTCATATGTGATGTTGGATCATAACGAAACGATCGTATCTATCTACTTCTTAAGTTTTTTTTAACAAGGGTGCGGGTGTGGGTGGGTATCAATGAAGCAAAAACTCACACTTATATCCACACCCACACCCCACACCCTTCACATCATGAGCTAAATGCTTTATTTCTCCTTGAACTTTAAGTATAACTCTTTATACGTATTTTTTTTTATTTTAAGGATTGTTTGTGCTAACTATGTTATTTTTTAATTTGAAAAGTATGAAAAAATTCTACTAAATATTAGCCATTTAGACATTTAAATTATATTAAGGCTAAAAGATTTTTAACTATTTCTCAATAGAATTTAATGAGTTCTATACGTCTTACTAACTTGTATCTTGATCAGAAGTATAACATTCTTATAATAAAAAAAAACTTCGAAAGTTAGTAAATGACTTATATATTATACATATGAGTAAACCATCAATAGAGTTTTTTTAATAGGTCACATCAAAGTTTTTAGCTTGGTTCTTACGTTTGATAAACTAAATACTGATGTATCGGTTGATTATTCAATAGGACTTCGGCAAATTGATTCGATTTCAGCAACAAATGCTTTTATCAAACATCAATTTAGTCTTGTAGGACATAGATTTACTGGAAGAAGAATTTGCTTACGTCAAATGCAATTCGGTCATAAACTTTGTACTCGTATTGCTGGAAAAATCGATTGGCAAATATAAATGTTCTTGCCTGTCATTATAAATATGACTTATTCGGTAAATTTTCTTTTCTTTAACTCTTCGTCGATGTTGTGGGGTCCAAGCGGACCCACCCCGTATTTTTGGTTTGCTTTTTATTCCACTAGGATTATGACTTCTTTATGAAGCTACTATTTTTGATAACTTTATGCCAAGCTAAAATGAAAAATGAGAGACTTCGTTCTATCTCATAATATTTGGAGAAATTTTCCGGGCAACCATTTAAGTGAAAACTGAGGACATCGTCGAAGGGTTAATTGTTATAGGCTACATCATATGTTATTTGTGTTATGATGGATAAATCTTTTGGATGATACAAAACAGAACTGATATGATCAAAGACTTTGCGTTGATTTGTGTCTTTATTGTCTGAAAAAAAATTTATAATGATTATCTATTTGTTTTAATTTACTATTTCGTGCAAGAATTTGTTATTAGTTCAGATTGGTAGAAATAAACTTTTTAACTTTCATTAATTTCTTAGAAAAAATTCAAATGATATTAGTCTTTGTCAAAATAGATTATGATTAGAACAAGTTTCTTTCAAATCTTTAAGATAATCACGAATTATAATCAGTGCATTGATCAAAAGTAAATTTCATGAGAATTCAAGATAACATGCCAGATTATTTTTTTTTAATTATAGAACACACCTATGGCTACCAGTGAATAGAGCCGTTTTTCAGGAATTTCTCTTTGTTTACTCCTTTAAAGAAGTATTTTCGACAGATTCTTACAAACGCTGCCGTAAAAATAAGACTAATTAATATCACAGATTTAGATTTTTTATTCAATGAAAGAGAAACTCAAAAATCAGATTCTATTAAGGTCATAGACGTAAATGTCTAATGCTTCATAATTGTTATTTAAAAAAAGTTTGCTCTCATAAACGACAAAGTCGAAAAAACTATTTTTGATGAAATGTCTCTATTCACAGTAAATTTGGCATATTACCTAATACTTTAAATTTAAGGTGAAACCTCTATGATACTCACACTTCATTAAAGTATATATCAAAAACAAACAGATTGTATGAAGCTTAAAATCAAGTTTTTCGAGGATGATAGAGTTAAGAGAACAATTGAGTCAAGAACGACACTGTAGTAATGTAACGTTATAGAATAAAACGTATGGAAAAAGTCAGACATATCAATTGGTTTGATTTTTCATTTAGTCTGTAGACATTGTGAGCTACGCCAAGATAGATGGCATGCAAGAAAAATTTGGTTTATTGGCGGGTCTGATCCATACTATTGACTTTGAATGTATGATAATGGTCTAATTATTTATCAATTCGTAGGGCTTCATAGTTAGAACAAAAAGGTATTATTCCTATGAAGACTTGGCGAATACATTATGTAGACATTTTCATTGTCTGCATAAAAGGACAATCATAGATGTTTTAATATAAACCATTTTCTGACACAACTGAAAGGCTTCCTTAACATGGATAAGAGTAATATTACTATAAGGAAGAGAAAATAAACGTGAAAGTTTACTTTTTATGCTAAAACAAAATCCTATGTTTAGGATTCTTCATACCAAGATATTTTTATAGTTATATGAAGATAGTAAGTAATTGGCACAACTTTTATGGCAGAAGAACCTATATTCTGACATTTTAATAGCAAAATCATGATTGGAAATCACTAGTTATTGGAAGTTTCCGACAGTCAGTAAAAAGTAGTTCACAAAAGTGAGCTCAAAATTCTAAGATAGGAAATCTTTTGTTCAGACCAATAGCAACTTCTGATGGCTTGTTCATTTTTTGGTTGATCTTAATGGATATATTCGGTATGCTTCGAGATCTTCATTAAATAATAAGACAGCATAAGCTCAATAGTTAGAGTTGAAATTTCTCAGTGCGAAACTCTCACGTTCATGCTTCTGAATCATTAAAACTGTGAAAATCTATAAAAAAAAGTAAGGAAAATAGATGTTTCAGACTTACAGACAAACAAATAGTGATATACATTCTTTTACTAGCTACATTAATAAACAGGAAATTGCTTGTTATTCAAACAATATGATGAAAGGGCGTGCACTTTTTAAAAATAGATGATGTGTATGACAAATATATTTGTTTTAAGTTCATTTGTCGTAGTTGGTTCTTATAAAACAATATTGCTTTACTTTCTTCTTTATTGATTCAAATCATCTTACCAACCTCTAATAAAACAATACAGTTGGTGAATAATTGAAAAAGAAGTCGTATAAATCTTTTTATATTTGGTATTGTTCATTTTTCATTGCTGGTAAAGATATAATATGACCGTTATGGACTATGAATATTAAACCATTAAATAGAAATCAAGATCAAATCACTCATTTAGAATATTAAATGTAATTGATCAAGTGTTTTAGCGATGAACTTCAGTTCTTTTTTTAATTAATTACTATATACTTTCATCCTTTTCTTTTCTTGAAATATTCTTTAGATTCGTTCTTCTACACTTTTTGCGTTATTATCATGGAATTCTTTTCATCAAATCTGAAGCATGAATGTAAGCAATTTAAAATTGTTAGATTGATATATATGAAACTATAAAAGTTCTTGTTTAAGAATAATTCTATAATTCGTTGATTCTTTTATGCTGAATCTTTGGCTGGTGATTGGAAATCAAATGATCCAGATTTTGAATTCCTATATTCATTCTACAACAGTATCTGTAAACAAAAAAAAGAGATTTAATCAAAATTTTCTATTATTCCTCATATTGCTGTTTATATATAGGTCTAAAAAGTTCTGTTCAAAGATTATTTATCACTTTTTTTATGAAGATAAGACTATACACTTTTCCATAGTAGGTCAAATGCAGCATCAATATCTTCTTGTTTAGTAATATCAAGACGAAAAAGCGTAGCTCTTGATGAAAGTTTTTCTTTAAGAGATATTATACTGTCAGGAATATAAACACCAGCAAAAACATTGAATCCTTGTTTATCAAGTTCAATAGCTAATCCATGACCAAATCCACTATCACAACCACTAATAAGAACATATTTAACATTTGGATTAATATTTGGTGCTGGAAATAAATGTTTATATAAACGATAAAATATATATAGAACAATAATAAAACTAATAGTTACTAACATGGCGATATATTTTATAGAGGTATTCAAAAAAAAAAGCGTCAAATATTTGTTTTTATCATCAAGGGCATGCGTATGTAAGTGTAGAAAGACAAAAAGAGAAACATGTGAGCGTCTAAAGGTAAATCTAACAACTATACGTCATTCATCGAAATATAATCAGAGCACATTAATAAAAAAAAAACGAATGAATTTGTTTTATTTTAAGAATTATTAAAAAGAAAACTTGTAAAAATGTAGCTTATTGATAATAGAAAGTAAAGAATTAAAAATATAATTTCATTACTGACAAAAATTGGGTGGATGTAAAATGAACGAAGCGAAGAACTTAGTATGATGCTATTGTAATTTGATCTTAGAAAAGCTTATATAGTTTGATTTCACAGTTTTATCTACAGAGGTTAGTTTTATAATTTTTTCGTGAAACTTTTCAATCGTTAAAAAATTGGGTCGTTCACATCAATTTATCTATAGAATCACTTAGATGAGGCACATACTTATGTAAAAAAAACTCATTATGTTGAACGTGTAGGAACACGTTTGAACGCATTTTTGTTGATAAACAACTTCTTTTTTTACCGTGATAAACACGTCACTAATGAAAAACTTTCCACTCAATAGTAACGCGTTCTTATGATACACGTTGGTGTTGATTCAGGAAGAACTCGTTGTCATAGTCAAACAAAGAACATGTTTACAAGTTCTGAAAATGTGTTCTTTAGTGTAATACGACCGTACTTAAGATAAAATGAGATTTATGTCTTATAATGTGTTGAAATCAATGCAACGAAAAAAATAACATGCTTTGAGAAATATGCATGTCTCAGTAAGAAGGATGTTGTTTTTTTTTCAACTATTACAAACAAAAAGACTGAGTTCGCTAGGTTGAGACGATGATCTCTACGAAGTATTGTAATTATTGTCCTTTTTGTTAGAAACTGTTTTTAATCACATATATTTGCTGACGCCTAAGTCAAGTTTTGCTTTATAAAAATGAATATATCACTTGAGATCATTTTTTTAATCAATATTAAGTTATTCATTAACAAGCATGTAAAATCCAATAGGACAAAAAATAATAATATCAACTATTTTTTCAATTAGCTTTTGGCAATAGAATAAAATTAATTTCATTAGAATTGTCACATGAAATACTCTTCTACTATTGTTGAAGGACTAATCTATTTGGAACGATTACTAGATTCATCAATGAAAACATTTTCAAATTCGAGTTCACATAATATGTATTACAAATTTGTGATAAATAAGGGTGTGGGTATCAATGGATATGGGACGTGGGTGTGATTGTGGATGTTATTAACAGATGTACCCACACCCTTCACAATAAATATTTCAATTTCGAATTCAATAACATCAACAAATTGTAATATTAGACATAAGTTATTATATCGATATTTTACACATCTACTTAAAACAGTCTATGACGAAATACTCCTTATCTAGAATTGTTAATCGACATCAGCCGAACGATATTTTCGTTTATTATTACGTATACAATACTATTGATTTTCTTACACGCAAATTTTTCATAAATAAAAAAATAAGTATTTCTTATAAAATAACAAAAAAAAATTCCATCAACAATGATCAATCACTATGGTTGTTTTTCTCTGATTCTTTTTCCATCGAACATGAATTTCGACTCCACCATAAAAAATCATGCTCACAGTTAGACAAGCAAAAACAATGATAAGTGTCGTTTGAATGGTAACATAACTCGCATACTAAACAAAAAAATAAATAAATTGAAAAGAAATTAGCTGTTTTTTGAGAGACTATGAGAAACATTTACACTGTAGGTAAGAAGAGCACCAATCGATTGCCATAAACGATATTTTGCTATAGCACTTGGATCATCTTCAGCATAAAGGACTGTATAAGCAACTGAAAAAAGTACATTATCAATTAAAAGATCAATATGATAAATAAAAAATTCCACCGATGATTTGTGATTGCCAAGCAGCAGCGGCAAGACCCCAAAGACCAGCCATAATAAAGAGAATGTATATTTGATCAGCATTCGGTTCCCATATGTACATGAGAATGATCGTTGCATAATTTAGTAGAGTAGCGATTATGAAACATCCAAGTCGACCGATGTATTTGACAAGACGACCAAAGATATAACTAGCCATTACCTGACATACACCATTACAAATGAATACAAGACCAATAAAGCTATTTACAAACATCTAATAGATTATAAATTCAATCATGTCGCACTGTACAAGTCTTCGAGACTTGTCCGTTACATAATTTTCTAAAACCTTCAAAGATACTCAGTAGGAAATACTATTTAAAAAAGTTGTCATTATATTGACTTATGTAGGATGCTCCATAAAGGCTAGACCTT